CAACCAAACAGATAACATAAGGTACTGGAGTTGAGCTGAGGAAAATTGCTAATTACCTAAAAAAAACAATGTGACACACTCTCCTGTTACATAAGAGATGGAGTTTTGATCCCTCTTCTCTTTCAGATATCTTAAAACTAGGATTATTCCCTGCTGACTGAAATAAATACCATCAGTTCTTCCTTGTTCTTTTTGAAAGTCATCCATGAAAAGGTGAACACGTCACAGGTCTGAGTCAGCAGTGAAGGTGGTATGCCACTGATCGTAAGACAAAAATTAATGCAGCTGTTTTTGATTTAATGTGATGCTGTATGCACGAATCCTCACTCGATGCATATCAAATTACCATATCATAGACTGCACCTAATAGAAGGCCAGGCTTCCTTACTGATGATTATTTTTGCCTTTAAATACATTACTTCATCTCCTCAAAGCTTCACTGGTCACTAATTACTCTCTCGCATGCCCCTGAGCTCTCTTTAGCAAGTGGCTAATAATTTCCATCATTAGGGCTTTAATTTCAAAGGGATATAAATGAAACCTTGGTCCCCTGGGGACATTATATTGTTGATGAGTGTAAATACATATATCATCAACCGGTTACCTTGCATTCCCTCTTGTTGCCTCAATGCCATTACTCTGTTTTTGTCTGTGCCATCCACTTTAGGGTCAACAAATCACATTTGTCCCCTCCATTAATGATACACCCCTAATATAAAATATCATCACAGTGCAAATCTTGGTCTAAATGTAAGTAAAAAACATCAGGGGAAATTCCTAGGTTGTGTGAAGACCCCCTATTCCCCGTCACCTTATATCCATCATTGTAGATTTAGGCCCTGGGGTGAACTCGTAAGGCTGAAGGTTAACAGCGAGATTGCCATGCATCCTCCCTTACAGCGTTCTAAAATGCGCTCCCACTACTGCTACAAACACTAAATATCGGCACACAGTCACGTCCAGTACATAGAAATGTAACCACCACATACCAGTGAGTGCAAGCGCGAGTGCGTCAACACCTCCATGTTCGACAAATGGATGGACTTCAATAGGGATATGATCAGAAACAGAATCCTTCCTTCAGATGTAGAGTTCACAGGCTTGATCATGCAGCTGCCTTGCAATGCATACTGCAACAGATAAAATTAAACACTGACGATTACTCACCACTTTGAAACACCCTGGACCGTGATCAATGTAATTTCTTTTTTAAGTTCAACCTCAAACAGCAGAGATTTGAGAAATCGTACAAAAAGTCGGTATCTCGCAACAGAACTGAACTGTTTCTAATGAAAGGTGACAGTTTTGAGAGACAGCAAAGACAACAGCCATTTAGGATCTCTTTGCATTGTTTTTGTAAAATCTAAGGCAATGTGCTCTTTAGGAGTCCAAATCAAAGCGATTTTCTAATAATGCTTCAAATGCATTCTGTAAAACGTGAATCATTATGCAGAAGCTCTAAGATGTATGTCAAAGATCATATACTGTTCAGAAAGACAGATGAAGATAAAGGCATCAATTTCTGGTCCAAGTGCAGATTGAAGCATATTGATGTGACTCTTCGCATACATGAAAGCTACCAGCTGCCCTTGCCAGCAAGTGGAGGACATTAAGGCTCAGACTGGTTGATCTGTGATGACAAGGGTCTGGAGGAGGGATTAGAAGCAAGGGGACCAAAGTTATGGTCATTCCCTTAAAAGGATGGCAGTGCATCTCATAGGCCTGGAGCTTGCAGGAGTTGAAAGATCTTCAAAGGTCGGCTCACCCAACACAACCTACTCTAACTCCCCCAAAATAAAAAAATATATTAAAAAAAAATAAAAACCTTGAAAGCATGAATTTTGAGAGATGTGGACTTCTAAAATATTATTTATTTTCCTTTTGCATTGCAACAGGCCACAACAAGTGCTGCAGGCCACATCTGAAAAAAAAAAAACTTTTGCTTTTAGGTTGTTGTTTATTCTCCATGTGAAATGATCATTGTCAGTCATATGATTACCTCCTGAGCTTCCCAGCTTACCCAGAGACCATGAAATCTCAAAAACTGGCTCATCAAAAACTGTCAAAATCTCAGTTATGTAAGGCATAGATAATAAATGAAAAAGGAAAAAGGGGCATCTTTTAAGAACCAACCACAGGGGTAAATTGCAATGCATCAAAAGACAAATATGCAGCAAATATAAGGATAGACGGGACCTTTCTCTCTATGCTGCTATATATTGGCTATTAAGTGATGCTCTATTTAGTGACACTAATTATTCGTAAATTCTCTAACAACAGTCAGAAAGCTGAGTATTTCAGGGACTTGGGATTAAGCTGACAGTACAGCAGCCATAGGGAAGAGTGACACGAGCCTAGTTTAATAAGACCTGGTACAAGCTGGACTACACAGGGGGTTGGCACCACTGAAATCAGAAAACTACAGTGCAGATGAAGATGAGAGAGAAAACTAAAGGATCAGTTTGGTTAAATCATAAGAGCATAGCACTGGGATTCGGCATTGCTATTCACCATTTCATGGCTCGTAACCACACAAAACATGTGCATGTAAGTGCGATGATTGCAATATCGACCATAAGAGCACAGTTTCTGAGTGTTTTATGAGCTTATTAATTGTCAACCTGCACATGCTTAGACATGAAACAGATTGCCTTACAAATGTTCTCAGATAGAAACAAGTGACCCATAAATTTCACTCTTCTATTCGGTCTTTTTTAATAGTTGTACAGTATATTGTCCAGTAATTTACTTCAGAGTTAAAATTTGTTCATTTTTTTTAACTGTCCTTATTATACAGTGTTGACATCACCCCTCTGTGGCAACCATTCTTTAGCTGGAAAGGGCAAGCAAAAGAAAATAAAGCAGCAGTCAGTGCAGCTGCATTCATTTTTCCATGTGGTGTTGCAATTTTCCATGGAGTGGCAGTGTAAAGAAAAAGCAGATATGTGAGTCAAGTTCCATGCATGTCAGGGGGGGGGGATCTAGCAGAGGATACCTACTTACCATCAGACCACTCTGGCAGAGATTAGGGTGCCATTGCGAAGAAGTCATGGAAGGTGAAGATGGGCAGGAGCTGCAGGGATAGACATAGATGAGGCAGAGGAACAAGAGGATCTGGGAAAAAAATTTAAAATGGGAAGGGTCACAGAGGGGTGGATGAAAAGAAACCAAGATGGGAAGCAAAAGAACCACTGGCTTGACCTAGGAAGGAGGGGGGGAGGAGCCAGAGATCCAATTAAAAACACATTTGGTCAGTCAGAATGAACATTGACACAGATTCTCCTGCCTCTTCAGACCAAGCTCAGTCCCTAAGCCGCACCCAGAAAAGTACGCCAGCTACACAGTGTCAGTTGTGCTAGATGCCATATGTGGTTATGATAATGCATAAAACCAAAGACCACGTTACACAGTTGGCGCTCAACCTAAGTATGGCACAACAGCAGCCCAGGGGGTAAGATAGTAATTTACCAGATCCCAGGGTGAAATAGATTTATTTACATTAAAATGATGTATACCTTGTCCAAAATGGCGCCTATGCTTGTTGCTAGGCAGAGAGTACAAAAGTAAAGATGGCGGCAGACAAGTGGCAAACTGAGAAGTGGAGGTCTAATCAGTTGTGATTACTTGGGGGAAGGGTGTGGCAAGGTTCAGACCATAGCATGGTCAGAATATATGAAGAAAGGGTTACGTGCTGGAGGCTGAGAATATCAGTGTTTAGCTTGTTACCTTTTGACTCCTAACACTACAGAAGAACTATTTTGCTTATACAAACACAGAGGCTTCTTTGAGCTCAAAATTATTTTTGATCACCTCTATTGTGCTTTCTGTGGAGAGATGTATTATTTTTAGAAACAGAGCAGAAAAGGGCAGAATGCGACAGTTTGGGGTTCAGTAGAAGAAGAATGAGTTACAGAATAGCTCAAGATTTTTTTAAAGATAACTGTAGTACATAAAGTATTTGATGAAAGGTATTGATATTGTTGCATTTCAGGACAAAGTGGCCTCATAATTTCAGTCATCTCATCATTAAAGCATACTGATCAAAGCACACTAGGTTGGCTTAAATTTCCTCAAAAAGGAAACACTTCACAATATAAATATTTTACAATATCAGCCACTTGAAATCTTCATGTTAGGCCATATCACAGTACTTACCACACAGAACTTCAACCCTATGAATGTTATTGTTATCAACCTAAACAGTACTGATGCAGCGGCACCAATTCGCTAAAGTCAACAATGAAATCATTAACACAGGTTAAAACTGTTTTTTCTCTTATTGAAATAGAAATAAAACATGTTGACGCTTCTCACAAAGTCTCACACTGAAAAGTTAAAAACAAAAATTAGCTGCGGTCAGATTCAAGAGGGATTTGTAAAGTGCATCATCAAAAATATCTGACTCTCCCAAAAGATCTATTCCCATGAGCATCATGAGCAACGAACACTAGAACCAGAATGCATAAACAAGTGCATCACAGATTGCAAGTATCACCATCTCGATAACAATTACATTGTGGAAATACATGAAGAATGTGTGTTTTAGTCAAAAAAGATGAGAAGATTAAAGAAGATGTTTTTTGGATTTTTTTCCACAGTTTTATAAGCGTAGAAGTAAACTTATGTCGCTTGAAATTGTTTTACAAATAACGTAAAAATAAAAGCAAATGTAACTAAAATTGCAAACTCTTATGTAACATCACAGAATGTGTATAAAGTAACATGTGTAAGGGGTGCATAATCAGATGTAGTTTCAGCCTATTTTTCCCATATATTCTATGATCAGAGCAAACTCACCTATAAGTAAAATTATTTCACTGCAATAAAGAACAATATATATATATCAAAGCCTGTCAGATCAACATAATAAAATATTCCAAGGAAACATAAAATTGGTGCACATGAGACCTGATTACACAAACTGGTATATGAGGTTAGATGGCACTAGTCATTGACGTGTTTAATGGTAGAATATGCTGACATCCATACAGGTGCAATGAATAACATTTTCTAATAGTAGTAGAGTGGAATTTCTTTTTCTTTTACTTTATTTGTGATTATTGCCACCTTCACAATGACCAAGCACTATACTTTCCTGAGCAGGACAAGGACATACAGTATTTGCTATACCATACATACTTGTGTACATAGTCTTTAGCTACAGAACATACCTGAACCTGATCACTTAATTTCCAGTTACTTTTTCTTTTGGTATTGTTAGAGAGGGGGTGTTGCTTCTTGGACAGGAAACAGGAAGTGTTATCTCAGAATAGACTGGATAGGAACAATAGTTCACTAAAAATGAGCTATTGTCTGCACCAGGATTAGTAGCAAAACGGACTAAAAGCTCTGTACAGACAAATACAGGCTTCAAACTGAAATCCCAATACCACGTTTTTTATTTTAAAGAGAGTTTTAATTGAAGGGTTGTATTTGAAGGAACAAAAAACAAATAAATGTGATCATATGTTTCTCCCAAAATGTGCTATAGGCGAAGTAAAACATTTAACTATTAATAATATGTGCATCCATAAAGAGCAATCAAGTGAATCATTTTGAGCTTTTTTTCCCCACAAAAACCAAACAAACAAAAAAACTTTCTAACTTATACCAATACCCAAATCAAACAGAACGGCACATATGTCTAGCAAAACAGTTTAGAATGTAAAAAGTGTCAAAATTCTTAGAATGTAAATATCTTTAAAGTATGTTTAACTTATAATCTGGGTCTTTTCTTTTTTATCTTTACAGCTTGTTCACCTTCAAAATAAAACGCTCCATGGTGTATATGTGCGTCTAAATAAGACACAGAAATAATATAAGGAGATAAAATTTATAAACTGATTTAAACATGAAGAAAAATCAGATTTGATATCACTAAATGAAAACACGCGCGAAACCCCGCAACAAAAACACATCTCCAGCCTCTCCAAAAAAAAAAAAACAACAACAACAAAAAAATCATTGCGCAGTTAAGAAAATTAAATTCGTTGAGTAGACTGCAATTTCCTTTTTGTATTAAGAAGAGTTTATCTTACCACGTTACAGTTACCTTTGATTTTACCTCAATCAAATCACTTCCACATCTAGTCTAGAATATAGACTCTGCATGTATGTACATATAGATTATGCAGACTCATCGGTAGGTCTGGCTTGCACAAGAATGCAAACTTGCAAATATGGCGAATAGCACTGGATGTGTTTTAAGGGGAAGAACAAGGTTTGGCATCATGCATTGATTGGGTTTAACCACACACTCCTGATCAAAGAGAATATAGACACTTTAATAAAATATAGGATAATTAATTATACAGTGAGCTTATGTACTTTTGAACTGTATGCTAATTAAACGTTTGAATAGTAACACGACCACTGGTTTATACTCACACTCTTACTCTGCACAGAAATGTGAAATATACATATAATACACAGTGTGTAATAAAAATAATAAAAAAAAATGGGGCAAAAAGTGAAACATAATCAAGGGCAGGAAAAAAACTAGTGAGCATTGCGGTATTTTAATTACAGCTCATGCTCCAGGCCCGTCACGCAGGGTTGTTAAACCTCAACATTTAACTTGAGGGGGGCGAAAAAAAATTAGATATTTATTTTATCTTGCGACGTACATAAGTCATGAATAATATTTCTATTCATCCAGACATACATTAGACTAGTTTACATTCAAGAAAGACCCCTACAGTCAGGGCTACATTCAGCAAGACACTTCCTTTTACTTAAAAGATTCAAAGTTCAGAATAGACTAATCAACACGCAGATTTCCATTAAATCCTTAGTCATTTTTTCCCCACTTAAAGATAGATATCTTCAATACTTATGCAACACAACGAAAACTAGAAATACACATAACGGTTCCTATAATCCACTTTTGGGAGATGTATGGGCTTTAAACCAAACCCAACCGAACAGACCTCACGACAACAAATAAAGCTTGCCACATTTCCATTGAATACTCAATAGGATAACTGAGGGCGTCACGCAAAATATGTAATACAACATTTACGAAAGTACAGAGAACAACAGCTGTAGGTTTGAGCTACCACATGAAAAAATAGGCCCAACATATTAAGCCGCCTGTGTGTGTCCCAACAACACCTCAGAGAGACGGGATGTTATTGCATTGCTTTGGTGGGAAAGAGTCCACGCCGCTGTGGCATGTGTACCATCCATTAACAATACTTTTCTGAAAGGAAGAAGCAGGGGAGAAAGTCCTTGAGCTCTGGGCAAAAGCGTGACCTGTCTGGCTGCAGGGGTACTGGGAGGACTGAGGCCTGTAGCTGCCTCTCTGTAACAACAAAGGGTCCAAGAGGGGCTGTGACCTGTGTGTTGAGTAGTCCAAACTGCTGTCAAATGTGTGATGGAAACGTGACCTCGGGGTCGGCTCGTCTCGACTCTCTGGGGACAAGGGGACATCTTGAGATGAGGTGGGTGGATGAGTGGGGCTGATCTGGGTTCCATCCGAGACTCGGCTTGACCTGCCCTCCGCAATGTGACCCCCACCACCAGGACGCGCGTCGCCGTCTTTGGCGACTTGGGTCTTGTTGCAGTGGAGTTTCATATGTTTTCGCAGGGAGCTTGGGTGGGTGTAACACTTGTCGCAGCCCCTGACCTTGCACATGTAGGGTTTATCACTGGAGTGCACATGTGAATGCTTCTTTCTGTCGCTGCTGTTCGCAAACCTCCGGTTGCAGCCCTCGAACTCACATTTAAAAGGTTTTTCACCTAAACGTGCAAAGAGAAAAGTGACGGCGAGTTACGAAAAGGTTTGCAGGTCTCCGCATGTTCTGCCTGACCATGTAAACTAATGTTTATGTGGGCTGGGTCAGTGGGTGGGCCATGTCATATGAAATGGGAATCTAAAAGTTTGGGGGTTTTTTTAAAGTGCACAGCCATGTTTCGCCCAACAGTGTGAAATTACTTTTAATCACTCGCTCAGCAAAACACAGAGTCGCCCATAGGCATCGGTTAAAATTCTTTAAGAATGTGACACTTAAAAGGTAAATTGCTAACAATTTACAAATAATAGTTGCTGAAACTTTGGTGCGGTGCTAATTGCAACAAATGAGGCAGTGTATCTGCAGACTAAATCAAAAAGGCTCCAGGGCCTAGTTAAACATGCATTAGATTAACCTGCGACCGCAGTTGATTTGTTTAAATTCAGTTACCATGCTTAGAGTGAATTATGGCCATCAGGATACTAATTGTTCTTCTAGCACAAAGCTGCCTATAGCTGCTAGCCCTCGTCCTCCTGCCGGACTGAAGGGAAAAAAAGAAAAGAAAAGAGTCTGAATCGTAATCCTTGCGTGTGCATATTTATCTAAATTTAAAAACAGAATTAAAAAGAAAAAGCTAATATCTCAATATATATTTTTACATAAATTGATAAGCTGAACAGAGTGTGCAGTTGTGTAATAGCTTAAATGCCATTAAGCCTCTCTGTTCTGCCTCTGTCTCTTTGCTTTCATTAGTAAAATAATTTACAGCACAAGAAAAAGGGCTGCTTAATAAACGCCTTTCGGTCCAGCTTCTCTTATTTCTAAAGAGGCTATTCAGTACAATTTGGCTGTATTTCATTGTAATTAAATCTTGTTCCGCAAATTTTGAAATATTTTATATACAACACAAGCAGAAATATTATATATATATAATTCTGTGCTTATGTTAGTTGTGCAGAAAAAAGGGCAAAAGTTAGTCTGTAGAGTGATGTGAGTTTTCTTTTTATAAAAGGTTCACACTGCCTCAAGTAAGATGTCTATTAGAGTCAACAGGGCATAAGGAAATCATTCAAATATAACTCATTTTGTTTACACTGAATGAGGTCATCTCTGTACTTACCAACTACTGCTACATCACAGTGTGATGTGCTCTGTTAGTGTTCCTGAGTACAGGAGATGAGTCCCTGGGAGGCAGAGGCAGCGTAACGGCTACGTCACGACTCTCCGGTGTCCCGGGATTTATTTAATAATTTCACTGAATGAAGTGGGAGAGGCACCCAAACCACTAGGCCTGCTGCCTATACTACACATAGTTTGCAACTGTCTTACTACTTCTCTGTCAGGCAGTAACGGAGAAGGCGACAAGTGTCACAAAAAGCTTTGCGTAACATTTCAATAACACTTTACATTGTGCTGTGCAGATATAATAATAATAACAATAATAATAATAATAATAATAATAATAGTAGTAGTAATAATAACAATAATAATAATAATAATAATAATAAATGTTTTTAAGAAAAAAAACTGAATATTGAAAACATGAAAAATATGTTCACATTGGTAAAAAATGAAAACTACTAAAACGTTATTAATATTATTATTATTATCATTATCACTATTTGTGTTGTTGTCTTATCATTAACTGACCTGTGTGAGTCCTCTTGTGGATCTTTAGATTTTCTGATCTTGCAAAAACTTTCTCACAGCCGTGAAATGGGCAGGGAAATGGCTTTTCCCCTGTGTGGACTCTGACGTGGTTCACCAGCTTGTATTTGGCTTTGAAAGGCTTCCTGTCTCTCACACAATTCTCCCAGTGACACACATATTCAGAGTGCTCAGGTCCTCCGACATGCTCCACTGTCACATGGGTGACAAGTTCATACATGGTCCCGAAGGCTCTGGAGCAAGGCAGCTTTCCAGCCCCCTCTTGGCCGTCACTCCACTTGCACACCAGCTCATGCTTTACTGTTTGTTTTGAGCACCTGAGGAAAGCGTCTCCTCCTCCACGCTGAATTGCCATGTTCAGGGGTTTGTACAGACCCAGGAACTGAGTGACAAGTTGCTGGCTGTTTCCCTTGGGGCTGATAGTTTGGCCGTACGGGTGAGTCCGGGTGAGGAGGTCGCCAGGCAGACCCAGCATCATCTGGCTGCCGAGATCTCGAGATGCGTCGGAGGACGCATGGGCCTGCTCCTGATAACTTGTGAAAAAAGTATGGTTTCTGTTGTCTCTGTAGCCATGAAAGTCACGATAGCGTCCAATCCCTCCATGTTGGTTAGGTCTTGATGCCAGTTGATCAGTGACGGGTGGCATGCCGGCTCCAGAAAGATTGGCTCCAATGATAATGCCCCTAGGGCTGTGCTCTAACCGGTGACTGGGGTATCCAGAGTCTGAAAAATTGGGAACCGAATGGTCAACATATGCACTGGACCTCGTCTCTGGGTAGTCTCGCAAATTGTGCGAGGGGCAGAGTTTTAAGGAACTGCCAGTGGGGTGTCCCATGTGCTCTCCTGCCAAAGGTGGCAGCACCACGCTGGGTTCAGTATTGCTCTCCCCGGGGTTGACGCAAGAGAGAGGGCAGCCACTAAACCTCGAAAGGCTTGTCATGTTTTGTTGTGAGTTTGGCTATGAGTTTGCAAAATCAACCAATTCAGCACTCAGGATACACCTAGAAATTCTGTTTCCATTTTCCTTGTTGTATATCATCTGCATGTGAAATTCTTGGCCGTGAACTTCGCAGAAGTAGGAACCAGACTCAATTTCGTTAAAGTTGGTGTGAGTCCCATGCCGTTCACTTTGCCCTCTTGATTTGTGGCAATAACCGTGGTAGTAAAAATGCTTCGAAACAGGCCATGGTGCAATATAAAAGCACAGCAGGCCAACCTGCTTTTAAAAAGGGAGCTTTGGGATTGGTTGGAATGCGCTGTGATTGACAGGCGCTGGGTTTGTTTTAAAAGGGACACGCAGGCGTTCACTGCACGACTCCGTTTTCAAATATCGCAGAGAAAATGCTTTGAAATGTGCCGCGATACTCCCAAATATTGCAGCCTCTTTAACTTCAGGCGACGTCTTATAATTCCCCTTCCCTAAATCTCTGCGTAGGAAAAACGCACAGGTTAATGCATAATACTAATCTTCTAGTAGAAATCGAGTGATTAAAAACCGATGTGAGCAAAAACACAACACAATCAGTTCCCAGCCTTCATGCCTTTTATTTCAGCAAATGTCCTGCTCCTGCCTGGCAAGTATAATAGAGAGACTGGTCCTTGCGTGTCCAGGCCAATTATTGTCAAGACTTTCATTTTGAGTAGAGCACCTCGTTTGAAAATAGTCAGAGTTACAGAATATTATTCCTCACAAATGCAGCAGTTGTTTGATTCAAACAAACAAAAAACAAACAAACAAACAAACAAAAACATAATTGCTTCGGCACTCATTAACCTATATGAGCACCACGTTTAGATCCACATTTTTTCTAATAGTAATAGAAGGCTACTGTTCTCTCTCCGTGGTAAGATCATTGTGGTACATTTTTATTTTAGAGTACATTTCCGTACGGACGCAGTAATTTATTGGGCTCGTGTAGTATGGAAAATACAACTTTGATAAAGCAACAAGTAGTCCTACGAGGCACGATAATCATCTTGTTGGAAATAAAAGTTGTTTCAAACATACATTTCTAGTAGTGTCACTGGGGAGTACAGCAGAACAAGATGTACTATTTTATCCATGTGCTTATTGTAAATCACGCCTGTATATAACGCTGTTCTTATTAAGCCTAAATAAATTAATAATTTTCAAAAGTTCATCACGCACCGTCGTGCAGGCTGGCACAAATGTGAAAATGGTTACGTAAAATGCAGATTATGAAACGTGACGAACAGCAGTGGATAGGCTCCACTGTTCCTAGGAAACTCAGATAAACTTTCTTACTTTGGGGTGCTGTGAGGACAGCGAGCTTCAAGCTCCCCACGCTGCTGAACTGCAACACATATTTCTGCACGTTTTCGAGCTTTGACGTGGCTCTGGTTCGATAAACACGCAGCTTTTTGGGGGGGTTTTTTCCACCCTAACCACTTTAGCCTGATTCTTTTATCTGTTACTTTTATTTCAATCTACACAACTCGGCGTAAGATCCGAACTGCAGCTTGCAGGTTTAAGGTGAAAACCCCTCTTATTTCCAAAGACTTGAGCTGGTGGTATAATCAACGTGCAAAAAGAAAAAAAAAACTTTCTGACGTCACCTGCAGTGGGTCCTATGCAGAGACAAAGCAAGGGGCCCACTTGACATTAAATGCTGGAAAATAGTAGACATTCCCAGAACTGGCCTAATTCCGTGAGGATTGTAATGGACGCTCATGTTTATCAACCTTTAACCTGATGCATTTCCGAAAAAAATCGAGGTTTAATGGCCAATAAACTGAAAGTTTCCAATCATATATTCAGATGGCATAAAAGCCTGAGAGACCTCAAATAACCCCTGTTCCTCATTTACAGGAAACAAAGGAAAACTGTTTAGAGTAGCTGCACTTTAAGGACTTAAATTCATATGCTGATTTTGAGGCTGTTCAGGTATACCCTTTCAGCAAGTTAAGTTTGAGACAAAGGCTTACACATATCTAACAATTAATAGGCCTTTTTAATATTTGCCCCATTTTTGTGCTATAGCAAGGAAATGTGAGCTCTTCAGTTAGTTAGTGTACCTGCTTTAAATATTACATAAATGTAACAATTTTTTAATTTCATGAGATAAATATTGTGAGAGGTTACCTTCAAACAATAAATCATAAAATTGGAAGCAATGGCAACAACAGTAAACAGTGTTTATTTGGTTAGGGGTTTGCAATGTTGCTTTACGCACATGCAATGTTATTATGACAAACAACTAATTTGAAAATTGCACGTCAATGTACAAAACTTCAGGTCAAATATCTACTTTGTAAGAAATGTAAGCATTTTGACATCTGAACTCTCCTCCAGCCCTGCAGCCTTATAAGTCTGGTTTATGCTGGCTGTTTGACAAGGCAGATGAAATTCTGGTGACTGCTGCATGTGAAATATCACTTGCAACAATCAAAACATTCATGTCAGGGCATAGTTTTTACAGCCACAAGGTCCATGTCGCTCCAAGACGCTCTTAGTCAATATGAATCAAATATATTATAAAGGCGCAATGCAGAGAAAAAATGGAGGACAAGTCAAATGCCAGTTTAAATTCAAGGCTTACTGAATACGAAGCAATGTTATAGACTGGACTGAAAATTCAGCAAGTTCAGTTAATTTAACCTTGGATGGTGATGAGAAGAAGTCTATTTTTTTTTTATTAAATAAGACCCTTTTTGGGGAAAACTATTTGCACACAAAAGGGAAAAACAAGCACCACCACACACACACACACACACATAAACACACACATATTAAAATGAAATGTAGCCTGTTGTAGGCTATATTATAATAATATGGCTGCTTTTCTATAATAATCTAGTCACTATCCGTATACAAATCACTAGCGTTACACATGGTGAATGCTGTAATGTATCACAAGATATAAATAATAATAATAATAATAATAAAAAACTTCAAATGGAAACCAAAAACAAAATGATTTCAAGTATCCATATTCATTTGTGATTGTGTGAGCTGTGTTTGTGTTTTCTTGTAGTAATAAGAACGTGTGTATGTGGGTTTGTGTGGCTGTTTAAACAACTGCATGCATTAGTGTGGAGTGCGCTGAAATATTATAATTGATGAGGGATGGCAGTGCACAGTCTTGCCATGACTTTATGAAATTTAGATGAATTAACAGGTTTGGGATGAGTCCATTTGGAGACAGATGCTCGAGCAAATCACAGCAAGAAGTCATTTAGCCCTCTCCATCAGCCATATAAAGGCAAACTCCATGTGCTGTAGTCAGTCAAGGCCCAACTGACCATATAATCTATGAAACACATACAACGATCTGCACAGTTATTATTGTATTACATACAGTTATGAGCCTGTAATGAAATAAATGACAAAAATATGGAACTGCGGAAACATTTCGCCACTGAAAAACATGAGAATTGAAAAAAACTAAACACATGCATAGCACAAAAACATGCCTAGTATCAACGTAATACAGGCACTGTGAAATTCTATATTACAAGACAGTTAAATTACCGTTTGTATTGTAAAGCAATATGATGAGAAAATCCTTCTCATTATCAGCTGCTACATGTGCAGGAAAAACTAAAACAGCATTTGTTGCAGCTCCATGTGTTTTGAAAACACAAAGCATAATGTAAATTTTTGCTTTGTGAAAGCACTATGCATTCTGAAAATAAGTGGATGCACATGTTATGAAGACAAATAGCAGAGCTGGAACAAATAAAAGAACCTCTATTATTCTCAGACTCTATTAAATTTACTGGATGTTCGAGTGAATGCGAACCTGAGCCACTGTAGTGTTTTAAGCTCTGTCGAATATAAGAGAAGTGGGAAAAGTGATAGAGAATGCACCCTTATTCAACACACAAAGCACCACAATTCATTTTCTTAATAAATCAAGCAACAGACATGACACATTTAAACCACAGCAAAATGTGGAAGTTCAATCTTCACATTGTCTATTTATCCAAAACAGTGAATCACAGAATCATCCATGTAATTGTGCCTCTGGGATACATTGATCACTTTACTTTACATTTTAAAATGTAAATACTGAAAACAGGATCACATACAGTGGCATTCGGTTGCAGCTTTTCCATTTTAGGAGAGATTAAGGTTATACTTCTGTCTGGTCACTACTGAGTTAATTTCAAGTCCACAAACTTGTCTATAGCACTAGCGGCCTAAGCCGGCCAAACATAGTGTGGGCCACAGGCCAGACATCATGGACTAAAAAAAAATCACTCAACTTTGCTACACGCACATACACAGAGAGAGAAAAAAGACTGGGCTGTGATATGTCTACTGGTTTATATAAGAATAGAATTACCATGCATCTAGGTCATTTACGAAATTACACAATGGAAAAATCCTTTATAATTACTGACTCTAACACATCTAGTTAGAATAAACATATAAATGTGAGATGTTTACCATTTAGGGTGATGATTATGTTCTGCTCTTTTCCAGCAGCAGTGGGCCTACTGTCACAGAGGTATGCACACTAAAATATTCTGATATTTTTTAGGTAACGCGCATGCTCAGTTGGAAGAAGATTATGTTATAACCAATAGGCTATTCCAACGCCCAGTGAGGTAATCCCAGGAAAGATAACTAAATAAGCAAATTATAAATACCGCAGTCCTGTGTCTAGCTACAGAATGAATAAAAACACACACACCCAAATACAAAGTAATGATATATATGCATATTCCTGCAAGAATTTAATGCAATTGGACATTAAAAAGAACATATAAAAATATTAAATTAAATATACAAATCAGTATGATTGTAAAATGGATTTGCAGCTTTACCTACATTAAATTAAATAAATACGTCCAAACGTGAGAGGAAAACGCCACTCAGCGCAGAGCTCGATGTTAAATATTTTGGGGTAAAAAAAAAAGCTGGTGTGCATGAGACAAACAATACGCAAAACCGCAGTCACGTTAGTTTTGGAAAGTTTATTTCCCCACTATTTGAAAGTTCCCACATTTTCTATTGTTCAATAATAAATAATAATAATGTTAACGTTCCCGGGAAATGCTCCCCTTCCTGGCAAGAAGTCGTGGATAAAATACAGAACAAAACAGAAATTTTAAAATAAAAAAATAAATAAAAATGCTACCTAATACTCTTGTAATCCTGACTC